TAGCATCATATAGATTAAATAAGTTTTTTTGAGGGCTACAGGTTTTTTTTGGGGGGCGGGGGGGAAAGGCAGAGGTTTCAGATCTGCTATATTTCTATATTGTTTTAAATGGGAGCCAGAGCAACAATGGATCATCTAATGACAACTGCTGTTAACTTCCTTTGTAAAACCCAATCCTGAATTCTCTACCTATGCCAAAGTTTCATTCAGCTCTTTCTTGAAATGATGATTTGCCAGCTTTGTTTCAGAAATGTTAGCTACACTACACAATATTCAAAGTTTCCTCTGAACATCTAAGAAAACCAAGTAATATGTTGTCAGCTAGATGAAAACAGCAAATGACATTTCAGAGATAGGAACAAGGAAACTGGTATGTTCACAGGTGTGAATGAGATGGCTGATGTCACCAAAATGCATGATCTGCTAAAGGAAACCATCTTTATTACATTTTTGACAGTGTGATTGATTTTATACTTTTGCATGAGACTATGCAGGTACAGAGAGCCAGGGATGAGTTAAAAGAAATTGATCACAGATGATCTCTAGCAATTTGACGTGCTTCTGCATGTATTGTGTAATTATTTTAGTTCCTCATTGGTATTGATACTCAAATACAATTGGATTTTGCAAAAAAATGTGTGAAAGAGTGAGTACCAGGCCATTTCTTAGATTGCACCAGCATGAGACAAAACGTAGTGTTTTTGTAATTCTGGGAGACTCAAGATTATTTACAAAATAATTGAGAAATACACATGTCAAGGAGCAAACAACATAATTAGAGTTAACTCCGCACTCCAAGGCAGTTAGACCACAGTCACTTGGTCTTCTTTTAAGAAATGCAAGATCTTTTATTTGTCACTTAAATCTTTCACCCTGTGCATATAAATTTCAGCATTATTACATGCTGAAATTCAGTATTCTTGTATGATCTCCTGCCTTCCTTGGGCTGCAGGGTGGTTGGTTGCCTCCTTCTATGGAGATAAGAAGAAACGTCCTGTTTCTAGGCACAGATGTAGGGAGGTCATACTTTGTAATACAGAAAGCATTTTAAAAGTATTTTTTTACATAACAGATATAATCCAGTCTTTTTTTTTACTAATACTCCCAAGGATGTGTTAGCAATGCATACTCAGTATGTGAGAATTCATGAGAAGAGGCTCCTTGGTGATGGGAAACAGCTGGTGGAACATGGCCTTCAGGCTCTGGGTGACTTTCCTCATGATTATGTCAAGAAATCCTGTACTTGCAGTACAAAGGGAAGGAACATTTCCTGTAAGGGTGAACTAGGAGAAGCAGCAGATATTCTGAAATAGCAACCTCTTTGCTGTTCAGTGGTAGCATAAAGCAATATCAAAAATATTCCTGTTTCACTGAAAAGACTATTTTTTGTGTCTAATAAGGCTGGAGTTCATCAAGCTTCTTTCCACCAGGGAAGAGGTGTGGATTAATGTGAGCTTTGTCCTCTGCTCACCTAGCTGCTTTGTTGAAATTTGTAGGAATGTAGTATGTCAGATAATTGATATTGAAATCATTGATAATTTCAACCAAAAATTAAACTGTTCTTTTAGCTTTTGGTTGAAATTATCAATGGATTCAAATACAGTTGGGACACTCCCAGGTAGGCACACAAATATACAAGCTCAGGGACAGTAGAAACTCAAAGCCTCAGGAAAACGAGCCAAAAACTACTTTTAGTAGAAATTGCATGAGAGTTTAGTAAACTGCATGTGAGTTTAGCTAAAACCTAATTAGCAATAGGAACATATCTATGCTCATCTTGAAGTCTGGTTCCTCAGGGTTGGGAAACTACTGAAGTACAGCAGTGAGGGAGCTTAGCATTACAGCATTATTCAGCTTTATTGCATAAAGCCAGCCAAATTACTCCAACCTATTGATGGGAAGAGATTGTGTTTCTTTTGTGCTCCATAATTTCTAGCTGTAGATGGCAATGTACCTGGGTAACCCATAAACACTCATTTTGCCATCCCATGCCACTAATAGCCACTGGCTTTTCCTTGCTGCCAAGCTATGGCTCTCAGGTGAGAAATAGATTCTTCTGCTTTGTTCTCTAGAAGTAATTGTACCTACAGTCAGTGGCTCTTGCCTCTGTATGTGATGGGTTATTAGTCCCTGCTGCCAAACTTTGCACCAAGAGCTGGCAGCAGTTTCCTGAGTCGAGGCTGTGGCTTCCAGCTCCTGGGGCACAAGGGTAGATCTTCCTATTTTGGGACATGCTGTTCTTGAGGAGTTTTCTTTTGTCAATGGCTTTCACTCTGCTCCATACATTTTTTTTTGGTTGCAACTGCACAATATAACTGCTTTTAGTCCATGTACCTAACAACTGTGCCAGAAGTATCTGGCTGAACCATAAGCTAGAAAATATGTGTATGCGTATGTTAGGGGCCTACAAAAAAAAATGCTGAAGACCAGTAAAGCTGATCTTTTCCCTTGTAATCAAAAACAAAGGATCCTTTTTTTTTAACCTAAAGTATTTTTTTAATGTCATCTTGGCTTTTCTAAAATGTTCACTGCAGCTGTCTGTAAGGAGAGGTTGTAGTGTCTCTTCACCACTGGATCAGCGGGGCTTAATTACTTACCTGAGGTCTGTCTGTGAATATCTTTGGGAAATCAGGTAATGCAAAACATGGCTCAATGATGGTTGCTGTATTTTACACTACAAATCTGCAGAATGCATTACTTTGTTCGAATTACTTTCTTTGAATTAATTTTTGTGTCTAAGTGAAACAAACAGTGCAATACAACACAAAACAGGCAAATTCAGTGGCTCATGGACTTACTCTGTAAAGTCTTTTGCCAGCTCAAAGAATTCAAAACTATTTAATGGGATATGTGTTTGCAATGGACAGCACATATGGTTCTACTGCTGTCTCCTTCCTGGTGCTATTTTTTGCAGTTATGAAAAGTTCAGTTTGCAAGACTTCCTTATGTTCTCTGTATTCTTTATTTTACAATACCAAAATAATATTGTTAGTTTTCACTGAAATATTATTGATATAAACTGATTGCTGAAGTAGGATTAAAAACTTAATCAAACTGTCACATGTGGGATTCTTATTTAAAAATTATTTGGAGTTTTTTCAGGGAGGGGATAGGCATACATAGCCAATTTGTCTGAATTAATATTTGTCCTGTATCACCTCAAGTTGTACTTAGTGGCTGATTAATCTTGTAAAATTGTGCAACTCTTTAGTAGACTGGAGGTTAAAGGATGTAGCAGCAGAGAGAAGACATTGGAGGAGACCACCATTGTGCTCTATTGAACTTGGGATGAGACTGGGACTTTGCTAATCTAAGGGAGTCTTTGAAACTCCATTTTTCTGTGGGCTCCAATGTCAAATGCCTGGTTTGCAGCCTTATAATTTTTGTAGTGAGTAAATTAAACCTATTCCCTTTCTTGTTTGGTGATTCTGTGATTCTACTGCATTCTGCAGAAGCCTGCTGCACAAAGGGAAGGGGCAGCAGGCCCTGGTCTGTGAGAAGGTTCAGGTCTTGCACAGGGTGACAAACCATAACATGTAGGAGGATTTAATTTATTATGATGTTCTGATTAAAGAGATTGCAATGTCAATTGGCAATAAAGTCATCAGCTGACCTTACTGCCAGGCAATGAGGAACTACTGAAGAAGTTTTCCACATCACTTTTTTGTTTGTATCCTGACCAAAGTTTCTTTCTGTACCAGCTTCCATTGATAATACCATCTCAGTACTTACATAGACACTGTTGGTTTGTATATCTTGATTCTCCTAAAAGTATGAAACACTTGCAATATGAAAAAAATTAAGTAATAATAGTTTCAATGACATGCTGTTAGGCAATATAGTGTCAGTGCTGTTAGATAACAATTGGCAATAGAGAAGGAAAATGGATTTGTATAGGTAGAAGATGGCTGACCTATTGCTTCTCAGCTCATGGACGTTGCTGGACCTTTGCCTGTGGCTCCTTGGCTGGAGTTGTGCCAGGCAATAGGCAGCCAGGTAAGAAGAGGCAGCTCCTCAGGAGGAGTGCACCCAGCATTGCCAGTGTGCTGTAAGACTCAGCTGCATCTCCTGGTTCTCAGTGGAATAAAGAAATCTGAAGGAAACAGTGTGCAGAAATTTCCTCAGATCTCTTCCCATACATCTACCAACTTTTGGGATAATGTTGCAATTACCAGCCATAGGAAACCTGGGTGTTAAGAAAATTCTTGGCCTGGCATATCCCTCAGAGTTGCTTCAAGGAATCACCATGTGCTTGATTTCTACTTTTTAATACAACATTACATATAGCAGAATTGTTCTCATAAATATCAACTTTGCTACTTTGTGGAAATAACAGAATTCCATTGAGATCAAATCAGCTGATTCCTCGCTTGGAAACTCAGTGGGGTTTCTCTCTACTACCCTTTCTTTCTTTTGAAGATCTCTGCCTCTGCATATGTTATTTGACTTTTCCTTGAGTGATGCTTCTCAAACACACTATGGAAATACTTCCCATTATAACTATTAAGTTTGAAGTGAAGCCTGGTGAAATAGTTATAATCCTTTAAACTGTAATTTCTTCAAATTTTTCTACACTCTAAATGGTGAAAGACAGTGACACAGACACTACTACTAGTTTGACTCTGTTGTTTGGAAGCATGCTGCTGTGAGCTGCCAATATGTGATAAGAAATACAGTGGGACAAATTTCCACTTAAGTGAAAATTAAACTGGGCACAGAAAGGTCATGGGTGATGCACAAACTGCAAAAATCAAGGTAGAGTGAGTTTTCTCAAGATGCTCCTTAAGAGCTGATCTGTATATTGTGATCTAAATGTTGTGACCCTGGATTTGTGTTGGGTTGTTGTTTTTTTTTAAAGCTTAAATCTAGAAGTGTTCCATGGCAGAGCTGTTTACGTTGAACAGGGAACATTATAGCTACTGCAGTTCTTCAGAGTTAATGAAATAGAGAAGGAAAAGAAACAAATCTAAGTATGCTAGTTTGTAACATTATTGCATAATTTAGTGGACATAATACAACCAGTAAACAACATTGAAAAGAATAAACATGATGGGAAAGACCATTCTGGACCACTTGTCTATCAGGTTAACATCAGTCAAATCAGGGATTTTGACTTTGATCTGGGATGCCCTCCTGCGTAAGTGTCCTTTTTTCTGGAGCCTGTGCCTGTCCAGAGCACTCCTGTTGTAGAGGTCCCTGCTGGAAGGGGCTCTTCTGTACTCCAGGCTGGCTCTGTTGCTCATGTACGTGGTCACGGGTTGGGGGTCACGGAGGATTGTGAACATGTCTGAGTTGCACATGTCACTTCGTATTTCAAGTGCTCTGAGGATCATGTTTCCACAGTCATCATCAACCTGTGTCAAGGAAGGAATGTGGGTTAGACAGGTTCCTCAGCCAGCCCAAGGCGTTTCCCAGATGGACCTTGTGGCTCCAGTGTCAATGTCTCCTGGGGCTGCAATGACAGTCCTGTCTGGTACAGCATTCACAAAAGTGAAAAGATACTGAATATGCTTTCCTGACTAGTGGGAAATTAGCTATTTAATATCTAAGCACCTTCCATCCTGACTCAGCTTCTTGTAATTCAGTTAACTGTCTCCTCTGTGAAGTAAGACTTCTGTAATTTTATCTTTTACTTGGATCATGGCCTTTATGAAATACCGATTTTTAAAGTCAGGTGACTGGCACCTGAAGCTTTCACATACTCAAGATAAAAAGAAAATGTTGCTGTCTCTTCCCATTTTAAACTGTTTTTGACTGTTGTAGTGCTTCAGGTTAGTTTCTGAAAGTTGGGTTCATCATATGAAGAACATGTAGATACACATGTATTTTATAAGTTATTGTAAAATACTTGTGATGAGAATTGATTTTGGGCAATACAGGGATGAAATCATAGCATACCATTGACTTGTTCATGTGCATATAGAATAATCCATTTTATTAAATGAAAACTTGCATTCCATTGCATTTTTATGTGTTGGTGCCAGAAGCAGTTGTTTCAAATATGTTTGCCATTTTATTTGCACTATTAGTCAGAGCATTCTTTTAAATACCTAAGAAAAGAACTGGAAACTGTATGTACATGTCTGGCACAAACAAGTATATATGTATATATTAAATATTTTTGTATCATTGTCTTCTTATGTATAAGTGTAATTAACCATGAATTGCTGCATTGCTGTGAAGTGTTCTTCTTTTCACAAATCTTTGGTTTTCTGCACATTTGTAGTTTTGAAGTTTTTGTGATATTTCCAGGTTGAATTCTGACTTCTTCATAAAGACTTAATAGATGTTTCAAATTCACAGATATTTAAACATCCACTGTAGCTCTTATGAGGGAAATATACATCTGAACACAGGCCTCCTAAATGAAACTTCAAAGTCTTCACCTTGAGGCTTGAATATTAATGTTGTTTTTGTTAAACTGTGGTATTGGATCTATCCCAAATTTATAACAAACTAGATCATGTCCATGGATGCCTTTATATCAGGGAATAAGGTATTAATTATAGACAAATTCTAGTCCTGTGAAGCACCATTGATATACAGTGCTTTGTTTACATTCTGAGCTTTACATTTTCAGTAAGGCATAGCAGAGATGGGAAATGACCTACAGCAGATTTGAAGTATGTGCAAGAAAAAATTCCAAACAAAACACACAGGGAAGCCCAGTCTTTGTGGGTTGCTGCAAAGGAAAGATGGGACCAAAGAAAGTTTCAGTTCCACATGGCAGTGGGGAAGATGTTCCTTCCCATCACCAGGAGAAATCTTTACGTCATTACTGATGGCATGTTTGCTCTGTGCCAGACTCAGAACTTACTAACTGATAGCAAAGCAGGGAAGGGACTATTTGTACCAAAGTCACACAAGAGAACTGTGGGCTAGAAGTCTTTTAAGTCATCACAGATAGAAAATGCACTGGTCTGGTTTAGAAATTGATTCTGTATGTGCTGAAATGAGCATTCAGTGGTAGCACTCCAGTTCTCACCACTGTTTTGGTGGGAAAAGCTCACATGTTCTGGGTTTAGAAAGGCCAGCTTGTCACAAATCAGCATGGTGTTTCAAATATTTGCTTGAGATTGAGCTACCCAGTTCATACTTCTTAGGTCAGTTCTTCATATTTAAGAAGAAGGAAGATTTAAGCTAGGATCTCCTACTCTCCAGAGGACTGCCATAACTATGGAACTATTAATTTACTCTGAAGAGCTGACATTTTTACTGTGGAAAAGCCTCAGTGATCTCAGAGCTGTCTCTGTGTAAAAAGATTTTTTTTTAATTCTAAGAAGTTTTGATAGGTCAAGTTTTTCTTCCCAGTTTTATGAAATAGCTCTTTGAGCTGTCTTTGATTACATAATCTAATGTGTAAGTTAATTGACTTCAGTTTTATAATAATAGTAACAATAATGTAAGCATTATTAAGCACTTATTATGACTTTTGGGAAGAAAACTCGTAGCTGCCTACACTCTGAAGTGATTCACAGGGATCTTTCTTAAACTAATATATCCTGACAATTTATTATGAACCAAGCAGTGTCTGAATTCCTGCTCTAAGCGTTCTGAATGAACTTGTTATTTTTAAAATGAATTTAATTTAAGCCCTTTTAGGCAAGATGATTTGTATGTCATGAAGCAAGTTGGTCTTTGAATTGCAGTCTTTGCAATTCAGAGCAAAGAGCCTTATACTGATCTTGACTAAATTAGCTCATGGAAGTATAAAAGATGTTCTTATGTACCTGGTCAAATGCTCTGTGCAATTTCCCACATCATTAAAAACCCTTTCAGTATATTTTGAAGTTCACTGCAAAGTATTAAAACTTGTGCAGCTGATTTCCTGCTGCTGAGCCAGCAACCGTGCTGAAATCGTTCTCCTCAGATGAACTTGATTATAATTTAATTGTAACAACTCACTCACACCTCCATCCAAGGTATGACCACCCCTCACTGTGCATTGTGCTCTGTATTTTTTTGACTCTAAAAGTGAAGCGAGAGAATTTTACACCAATCAGTAACAAAGGTGTATATGACTAGTCACTCAAGTTCCACCTAAAATGTAAAGAAACAGGATACAAATAAGTTGACAATGGGGAAAAGTTACAGAAGACTCCATTTTAACTACTGGCATTGTTTGATGGGCTGAACCTGTCTTCTACCCCATAGGGATGCCTGTTGGGTAAGAATCACTGTGTGTGGGCTGAATACTTTCACTGGGGATTAGAGTTTGTCTGTGTATTGCTTTAATATGTTTTTGCAGTCAGATACTATCACTAGCAATCCTTGAATCTTAACCTGTCACAATTCTTTATTAATAAATAGTGATATTCCATAAGCTGTTAGAGTGAGTCCTTCCCAGGTGCTGGCAGTGGGTAACATACTCAAATAAAGAGGAGGACCCACTAAGGGGTCATAAAGACCTGCCAAGGGGTCTCCCTTGGGCTGTCCCTGACTAAGTCAGTCAAACCACCCTGTGATCCAGCAGGGCAGCTCAGTGAAGGGTCCCTCTAACAGGATCCTGACAGACTGGTCTCAGCTTTCCTGGGACAGACAAATCAAACACTAAGTGTTGAATGAATGTCCCCACACCAAGGGGGATGAAACATCCTTTTTTCACTTGACACTTAGAAAATTAGTTCCCTGCTTAGGATCATCAAATGATATTTTAAGTCTAAAATAGTTAAGTAATAAAAAGAAAACAACTCAAAGTAACAGGCCTGTATTGACCACATAAAAAATAATCAGACAGCTCTAGGGAAAGTGCATGTTAGCATTCCTTGACAGAGAATGTGTCTCAAATGCTTAGTGCTGTCTGGAATTAATTTTAACCTTTTTTTTTCTTTTTCTTTTTAACCTTAACTGTTGGGAGATAAAAGGTAAGAACATCTGTTTTATCTCAATACAAACTCATTATTTTTTCCTCTTAAGATGAAAGACTCAGGGCCATGTAACTCACATCGGTTGTCTTATTGGAACAAATGCTGTAGTGTTACCATGATCTGATCTGCAAAGGAACACCTTATGCTCAGCAGGGCTATACTAATTCACAAGGAGATTTACTTGAAGGTTAAGATATTTGTGTGGTTATGTGCTTCCCTTCCTTTTCTCCTTCCAATAGCCACTGCATCAGAAAATTTTAAGTTTTCCTCGGAGCATGTGGCTGGTGTCTGGCTTTCTATCCCAAGTATTTAATGTTTCACAGGACATTTGAAAGAAAAGTGTGATGCTGTGCAGAGCTGGGGAGACAATCTATCATTGTCTTGTGTTGTCATTTATGAACCTTTTGATGGGGTGGCCCCTTTCCCACTCACATTATGATTGCATCCTACCTTTTTTTCATACTTAAGGCATATCTTCTGTGTAATTATTATTTATGCTGTAATTTTCTGGGGAAAGAGAAGCAGTTGCCTGCATGGACTATCTAAATATTTTCTTGCTGGGTGATTTTTCCTATTTACCCATAATTATGGTGATGTCAGTGACATCTAGCTTTGACAAATGAACAAGGAGATATAAATAGTATTTATGCTTTATTCAGAGAAACAGAAATATTGTCTACTACAAATTAATACTTTTTTGTATATTAAAAACAAAAATGGCATAAATTGTGAAGTTGGAGAGACTTTATTTCCATCTTCTTCAGTCTGTAGAGCATGGAACAGCCACCTATGAAACAGCAGTTCTGTTTCATTTTTCATGTGGTCTTCTCTATACTGCTAATATCGTGGTCAGTTTGCTGAGTGTTGCTCACACATCTAAAGCTTGTGTAATCTGGTGAAGAAATTTGAACTCTTTTAGTCTTTGGAGTTGTATGTCAGATGGGAATGATTGATATCTTCACCTGGCACAAAGAGATGAAGCACTGTTACACATTCTAATAGTTACAGGTCCCTATATGGATAAGTGGTGTGGGACAAGAGTAAGAGGGGAAAAAATGTCCTATAGCCATACATACTTACAACTGTATTTCTTTTATGCTCAGAAAAACCTTTCCCCTGCTCTGGTGCAGGCATTGTAATATCAGTGAAAAATCTCAAAATATGATGGAGGGGGCAGGGAGCTGTTTCACTGGAGGTCACATAACCTCGCTGTGTCCCACTGCTCTGGTCATGTGCACTCTTCCTGCCAAAGAGAGAAATACAACTGTTGGAAATCAGCATTTTGATGCTGAGTAAAATTAATGTTCACAATGTCTCACATCAGCGTGTGGAACACAAAATTCACTGATATCCACTCACATGTGTGTGTTTATGTATATGTGTGCATATATATATATTTAAGATCACAAACCTGCACTGTACAGGCAGAAAGCAGTCTGTTCATCTAAAGCACTCTCAGTCTCAGGATGAGATTGCTCCTCTGAAGTGTGAGCACTTAGAAATCCTGGTACCAAGCATGTATGACTTCGTTTTTCTATCAGAAAATTAGTGTATGCAATGTGGGGCTTTAAAATCTTTTCATCCCATTCTGAGTACCAATCTCAGTGTAATCTTTGCTGCATAACATTTAGACAAAAGCTTTTGGTTATGAGTTATGGCATTTTATTTGTTAAACAAACTCTCCAAATATGCAGGAGGAGAACTTACCTGCACTCTTATCCTTTACTCAGTTCAGTGCACTGGGGTGCAGGTAGCCAAGGCTGACCTCTGAAGAAGTCTTGATTTCCTCTTCATCATGAATCCTTGTTGTGCTGCTTCTCACCTAGGCTGGGTCATCTCAGGAGCTGTTGAGGTAGCTAGTCAGAGTTTGTGGGTTATGTTGTTTTTTTCCCCTTCCTTATTTTCCATAGAAATGGATAGACAGTGTCTGTGCACAACAATTCATGTCAGGGTGGCTTATCTCCTCTGCTCTGTGGAAGACAGCACTTTGTGGAGTCTTGGAGACTCCTGATTGCCTGAACTGAATTTGTGCCCTCACTGTAATAAAGCATCTCCCACCCAATGGGACAGAAGGCAAGTATAAGTCAGAACTTTTAATGGGTTCCTGAGTTCACTGAGACTGAGGGAATGATGGTGTTGTTAATGATGTGGAGCTGTAGTGCTGGGACACCAAACACACAGCTCTAGAATTAATAAGATATCACAGAGTTTCTGAAATGCACTTCCTGGTGTGTATGTGACACTGTAGCCATCTATCAAGATGAAGTCTTAGTTCTCAGAGTTTTATGTGTTAGTGTCATTCTTCAAACTGAACAGAGGGCTCAAATACAGTTTTGTCCAATGTTATCACCCCAGGCCACAACAGTAAAGAAGTTTATAGGACAGCCTGGGCAAGATCTCATTAATACTTGGATGTAATATATTGTAAGCAAAGCACAGGAATGAAGAAAGAAAAATTTTGGCTCATTAGGATATATATTTTCCTCCGAGTCAGACTGGGCCAAGTACAACTGAGGCTTCAAAGGCTTTCTTTCTGAAAAACTGGGAAAAAGTGAAATAGGTTTACAGATGTTTGCAAGTGCTCAGTGATTTATTGCAAAATCAAACTCATCCTCATTAAAAATATGTACATAGTATTACTTCCTGAAAGTTTTCTAGCTTGATTTTTAAAGAGGGGAGAGTTGTGGTGTGCCTGAATTTAGCTGAGGGAAAAATCCTGACATCTATGAAAGCTTTTAGAATCTGGCAGCAGCATCCTTGTGTTCCTTGAAGTTCAGTGCTACAGGCTTCATTCAGGGCTCACTGAAGCAATAGAGCTTGTCTATGCTTTTCATTTGTAGTGAAGTTTCTGTATGTAAAGAGGAACTTTATTATAAACATTTTTTCTATACCACCTTCTAAAGCAAAAAAAAAAAAAAATACAGTTGAAGTGATAAATATTTAACTTCCTTGTACCCCTTGTATTTTTTTCTGCAAGAAATACAAAGAAGAAAGAAATGTATCCTGAATAATAATTTTAATTTTCTGTATTTTCTTACTCTATTTTCAATTGAAGATGGAACAGACCATACGTTGCTGCAATCTTCTTAAAGTACAATGTTTTCTCTAGGCAATCTTAAATGCTTTTGCACGTGTTCCACCTGTATTTATCTCTATTATCATATAAATGAACATTTTCACAATAAAAATAATGTTTGAAAAGATAGCTTGAACATTTTACCTGGACTCTATTTGTTTCCAGTATGCTTTTCTCGCCTGTAGCATGTCCAGCCCTGCCTGCTGTCTTTTTTTGACGTTGAGGTCCTTTCCCAAAGAATATGTAGTTTACAAAGGCATATTCCAGCAAGGCCAGGAACACAAACACAAAGCATCCCATCAGGTAAATATCTATTGCCTTGACATAAGGAATCTTTGGCAAGGTTTCCCTGAGGTGGGTGCTGATGGTGGTCATGGTCAGTACAGTTGTGATTCCTGCAAAAAGAAGAAATAATAATTGACTAGTAAGACAAAGAGGAGATTTGAACACAAAAGACATAATCACAGCATTGCACTTCTCATGCAGATGGTGATGATCTGGTTCTTAGCAGCCAAAGGAATGTTTTGCAGAAGTGGAAAGGAACATATCCTTGCAAGTCTGCTGAGAGCACCTTCCTTGCCTTTTCATGCAGTGGAGGGTGAATGAAATAACCTCCAATAGCCCAGGCTATGTTGGAACTCCTTGCCTAAATTCTTGCCATAACTGTTAGCTGACCTGGATAGCAAAGAGTTGATTGCTGTTCTTTCTATATGAGAAAATGCTTCTTAGTTCATTTACAGCAGTAGCTCTGTTTGACCCCATAGGTGACTTGCATTGCTGTGGGAATCTGCAATAAGTATCTAGCTTATGATTTAAAATGGAAGATTGAAAGGAGAAAGGGAAGCCTTTTGATAAAGTGATGGTCTTTGATGAAGAGAAAGTGATATATATGCTTGTACCAAAACAACTTCTCCTGTTAACTAGGTGCTTGCAAGTAAAGCATTTCCATCTCATTGTGCTATCCACCACTGAATGATTTTTTTTTTCTCGTATCAATTTTTTTCTTTTAGCTGGCTGAAATTACTTTTTAGTCTGTTTTAATCACAGGTCATTAATGCATGTAGATAAAAGCTCTAGTCACAGGTCTAACAAGTTTAATTTGCAGGGAGATGGGACAGAATGGCTTTTTGGCAATAGAGTTGAAAAACATATGCCTTAAAGCACAGACAGCTGAAGAAGATCTTCATTCTTATAGAAAGTTGCAGGAAGGAACATGGCATGGGAAAGAATCAACTCAAGGAAAAACAGACTTATTTGGTGTAAGCTGGTATATATCCACTGATGTCAGTAGGATCTTGTGTATTCATTCCAGTCACAAATCTAACCTCAGAGAAACTTTTAATATCAACAGGGATTGTTCATGCAGCACAGTGTAGATTCCCTTAGACACCTGAATTAGACTTTTACACTCCATTTTGGAAGCGAGATACTTTGGCCTGATCCAAAGACCATTATGACAACTGGAAGTCAGTCAGAATCCCAACCTAAGTGTGGAGCAAGAACTTTCAGAAGTAGGCAAGGTCACCCCTGCCTGCCTTCCTTACAACCAAGGCCCTGTGCTGCTTGAGTACGATCACAATTAATGATGCTACAACCAGCAGTATGGATTTGGTGTCACTGTTTTCAAAGGCAGCAAGTGTCCATGCAGTTCAGTCATTTTGAGAAGTTACCTAGAGCAACTCTGGCTGCAGAGGCATCGTAATTGATCCAAAACGACACCCATGACAGAATTGTGATCAGCGTGGAAGGCATATAGGTTTGCAAAATAAAGTATCCAATATTTCTTTTAAGCCTGAAGCTAAGTGATAATCGAGGATATGCTCCTGAAAGAAAGAAGTCATATAATGACTAATGCCTCACAAAAGGTAGGCACTGATATTTCTGGGTTGGAGGAGGATGGGACAATTGCTTTTAACTTGTCAGTGCTTACCTGTTGTAAATTCCACTCTCTTTGATACCATCTTGTAATCCACAATAGAAAATTGTGGGAGCTCGATGTTATTAACTCCTGTTACTGCTGACTCTCCTCCGTTCCAGTAAAATTCAATATCATCAGTAGTGTATCCATCTGAAACAGAGGCACAGTTTGATTATTGACTTTTCTTTTTGTTTTATTACTTTGCTTAAATAGTTACAGTTCAAGTGAAAGGAGCTGCTGTTAATCAGGAATTCAGTCTTCTGTTGTGTGACATTCCTGTTACACAGAATTCCTTCTCTATGCCCCGAGGAAGCTTCTAGATGTAGAAGAGAAGAATACAGAAAACAAGGACAGAATTCATGATCAAAATTTGTTTTCCAGCTGGCTCTAATGCAACGACTTTTTAGTCAGGCTTGAGTTGCTCAGTTTGCCAACAGACAGATACAACATCAACAAAACTTTTAATCTCTCTTTGGAGGAGCTCTGACAGTAAAACCGGGATCAGTTCCCAGATTTTAATTTTAATTTCCTATGCATTATGTGACATAATATAGAGTTGGGAGCCAGTGGAGACAAAGATGATTCTAGAAGAATTAAGGTGCCTGTAGTATCACCTGACAATGTCTGTCAGAGCTATAGGTAACCCTTTGATATTCATGAAGCATTTTATATTTTAATTAGACCATACCATCTTTGATCTTCTGTTATCACAGAACTATTTTTTACTCCAAAACTAGCACCTTTCTTCTCATTCCTTTTAACAGTGATGTTGATTATTTATAATGTAATCAAAAATTAATTTGCCATTATATCACTGGAAATGTTAACATTATAGTTACCATTTTCAGAAATATTTTGATTGAACTCAGAAGTGACTAAGTTTCAAAAAAATTTCCCAATTGACATAATTTTTGAACTAATATTTAAACTGGTTCTACTTTATTGCATTTTTCTACTTTCCCCAGATATCTACCAGAGGAGAGAACATCTCATCTATTTTTAAATTTTTCCTTCAGGTGTTAGATTTAATCAGGTTTAAATCATGTAATACAGATCAAATAAAACATGTGTTTGAACTCAAAGCTTTAGAAAACTTGACAGTACTTTTGCCAGTTGAACCAACTGTAGCTTTAGAAGCCTCCACAGAGTTAGGAACCTATCCTTTCATATGCACTAGTAATGCAATATCAAGCTAAGGAAACTAGTCTTGAGGTGTCTTTTCCTATGATGGTGCCCAGTAATAGCCTCATCCCTGGAAGCCTGACCACATGCAGAACAGATCCATGGTTTCCCTGGTGACTGTCACAGAATCTCTTACAACTTGCTGCCAGGCTCCAGAGCTTGCATGGAAAGTCTGCAGCTATTGAACAGCTATCTTTTGGTGCAAACACACAATGACAGGCTGAACAAGGTTAAATGTTTGCATATTTTATTTCTGAACTGCTCAGTGCCATGGTGTTCTAACTATCCTAATTGCTCTGAAAACCACACTAACCTATGTAGTATGGATTGCTGCTGCAAGCTTAAAACTGGGTTTCCCATTACTTACAGTATTAATTTATTGCTTTTTTTCCAAATGAACTATCCTAGAGCTGTGACAAAGAGCTCTGCATGGCTGGATTTCAAGACTTTTCAATGCAAAAGGTCAAGGTTGCTTGGTAGTGAGACTTCAGTAGCTGCTTTCAAGGCTTTGCACACAAACCCCAGGGATGACATGAGCTACATGTAAAGTGTGATACAGAATGATTGAAAGTGAATGAAGGCTTCTACAACGGTTTAAAAGACCATGACTGAGGTTGGCAGGGAAGTGTTAACTTCATCTTCTTGCAAATCTATTCTATAAAAACTTTCTCTTGAAGGTTTCTCTTCTCAGGAATGGTGGTGCAAAACAGATGGCATTGGAATTGTCATCTCATACTGAAAGGGTATTGATTATGTGTAGACTTCATACCACACAGATATCCTCTACATGAGGTAATACTCATCTTTTGTCCTTAGGGGACAGAATAAAAAACCAAAAGGGCATCACTACCTAGATGTTGAGCAGCTACTTGCTGCAAAGTCACTGCTGAAGGTTTAGATGTGAGAATCCTGAACTCTGCCTCGGGGTTTGGAAGAAAACCATGAAAATGATTCTTCTGTTCTGTGCTGTCATCACCCGTTGCCCTTTTCACATTCTGCCCTCCAGTTTTGCTCTGATTGTGCAGCTTCCTTGGACAGTGCAGGCTGGGACCCAGGGCAGAGAGTGGAGCTACCTCCAGACCTCAGGAGCTCCTGACTTTACTTGCAGCCTCTTAAGGCAGGCACAGTCAGCCTCTCTGCAGTTTCTCTGATGTTTTGAAAAAAGAGGTAATCGTTTGGCACCTTATTGTGGCTGAAATTCCCTTCTCTGAATGTGAATTATTAGTGATTTAATTGTTAAAACCCACAATGGTGCCAAATAAACACCTGGGATATTAGAAGGCAGATTTCAAAAAGAAAACAGGCACAACCTCCTACAAAAAGATTGCACCATGTCATTGATACACTGTGTAGTCATGTTGGATCTTTGCAAAAGGAAATTATGTGAGTTTTGTAATGTAGGGAAATGTGGTTTCCCTAGTCTTACTTTCTATGACTTTGGCTACTAAATAAAAAGTAGAACTAGTAGGTTATAAAGTCAGCTGACCAAAAGCAAGAACCTTGCATGAATCAGCTGGTGACAAGGTGTCACTGCTGACAGGCCATGTTTTTAATCTCTACAAACTTAAAAGAGACTTCCAAATACAACAAAAAGTGGGTCTAATATGAGCTACTACTTTTTCTAAATATACCAATTTATTTCTTGAATTAAAGCTTCCCTAAAGCTGATGGAATTATGAGAAAGGGATAGTGATATTTTTCACTCAGGAACATTCTCATTTTTTAGCTCCCTTTCTAGAAAAGTAGTAGAGCAAAAATATCATCCTGTGGTTTTAGGTACAGTGAGCTTCAGTACATTCATTATTTCCCTGGCAGTCATTGTAATATCTCTTCTAGACACTAACAAGGTGTATATTCTCCCTGGGCAGTCCATTCCCTGATGCGATAGAATTGTTGCTGTGTTTCCTTATGTGCTTTGCATTGTTCCAGGTGTGTGGGAGGCATTGCTTCTCATGGCTGACAGTGGCTCACAGGTGCAGGCATTGGAGACCCTCATGTTTCACAGGTGTCGACATTGCTTTTCTTCTAGCAAACTTAAGAGGAAGACAGTTGGCTGCAGGTTAAAGCCAGGAATTGATCTCAGCTCTGAGCAGTGAGCAGGAGACAGATTGCTCCTCCATTTTTAAATGGACAGTGGCTTTGAGCGAGGAGCTGTGGTGATGTAAATGAAGAAACCTTCAAGCGTGGAGCAGTATTGACAACTGGCTAGTGGGCAATGGAAACCCCTTATTTGGTGCAGCAAATGCCTTAGCACTTACAAAGGAAGAAAAGCCATTTCAGTGATAGGAAAAGTGAGTTTTGCCATTGCGGTGGCCAATGTTAATGCTGGTTTGTTCACTGAACTTATCTGTACTGCCCAGGTATTCCCATGGCAGCTCTTTTCCCATGTAATCCTTTTCCCTCTGAGTACGTACCCATGTCACCAATTTAAATGCATACCCTCTGCTTTTGTGTCAGAGAGAGCAGCGCTCGCAGCTGGGCCGTGATGTCTGAACACGAATTTCACAGAGGTCAGATATCGCGGGCCTGCAGTGTTTCAGTGATGCTGACAGGAGCTGCCGCAGGGTGAGCGCGACGCGAACGGGAGAAAGGGAGAAAGGGAGAACGGGAACGGGCGGGCAGCGCGCCCCGGGACCGCGCGGGGGCACCCGCGCTCCGCCTTGGGCCGGGAGCGCCGCGGGCGGGGAACCGGGGCGGGGCAGGCGCGGGGGATGCGCGGGGGATGAGCGGGAGGTGAGCGGGGGATGAGCGGGGGATGAGCGGGGGATGCGCAGGGAGCCGAATGCGTTTGCTCCCAACTTCTGGAGCGAGCATGGCCTCTTTGCTGGGCTAGCATCCCTAACAGTCTAGCTCGGTTAATCAAGCAGTTTTCCCAGGAATTCTCAGTCTGGTTTTGTTGACCTAAATAATAAGTGACTGATAAACTTTTATTTATTTATTTATTTGTTGTATAATTAATAATACTCCCTGAAAAAATTTTTCTACTTAAGACTTTTTTTTTGCTTGCTAGATTATTTTCCACCTTCAAAACCACTAAAAAACACATTGAATTGCCCAGCTCGAGATATAAAACTTACTTCCTAGAAAATACTGTCTAGAAATGAAAATATATTACTTAATTGCCAAGTTCTTTTTTTGTTTGTTTTTGTTTGTTTTTGTTTTTTCTTTGTTTTGTTTTGTTTTTTTTCTCTCAGCAACTGAGAGTTCAAGTGAGAATGCTTGGTTAGAAGAGAAGTACCACAGATCTAAAAAGTAACTATATACACACATGGCAAGAAATAGGTTATACATAAATCTCCCTGTTCACAGAAGAAAATATTTTAGAAATGTTGCTGACATTGTGACATAGCCAAGTTTAACAGTGTACAGGATGTCACCAGGCTGTTCTATTTTACACAGCAGCACTTCTCAAATATCTCTGGGATAAATGAGGATGTGTGTTACATTCACTAATACAAATCATGGTTCCACTATCATCAGCAATTCAACAGAGATGTCCAAACAAAATCTCTTTTCCCTTCTGATTTTCTGGGGCAGGTAGCTCTGAAACACCCAGAGCTGGGTCTCTTCCTTCGGATCTTAATAGGGCTCTTCAAAAGACTACATTAAATCCGTCTGCACAAATTAGTTCACCGTGGGACCTCAACTCTCTTCCATTCCTCTTGGATTTTGCCTTTCACAACAACTTAGTCTTTGTTGCTAAATGTATTATATTTTTCTTGTTATTCTTCCTATGATTGTGTTCAAACAGGAAGATAATGCATTTCTTCCACACGCCACCAAGGCAGTCCATACAGTGCTAAATGTACTGTACTATTTAAACTTAAACCTGACAGGTGAATGGGGCACCACACATCTGAAGATGGGCTTTGGAAATCAGTGCAACTAGTTAACATTAAGGTGATAGAATTGCTTGAAATGGCTTCCTGCGACCTGTGTTCCAGTGTGTATTTGCATCTGTAAGGTAC